GATTGGCACAACTTTTATTTATGACCACTACTTTTGTTGTTGGAAAGTGACAAGCTTTCTCTGGAAAGTGATAGAATACTGCCGAATGCCATTTAAGTCCAAGTAAGTATGATATGAATTAGAATTACATATTTTCCGTCAAAACTATATGGGCTCACGTCAAATATAATCCTTCTAATAATATATTGGAGGTGGAAATCTAATGTCTTTACTTTTTAAAACAATATATACCATTCACCATTCTTAATGGAAAGGAACACTCGAACATGATTTGTTTGATGGATCAACAATGCTCAACAGGTCCCAAAAAATTTCTCTGATTATATGAGCAAAAAAAAAAAAAAAAAGTTTCATAGAAATAGTCAACTATTTATGGTTTTAGGGAAAAGAATGATAATAAAAAAGCTATTTATATGATTTTGCATTTTGCTTTATGAATTAATAGAAAATGATCTTGCTGCAAAGGGAAGCAGAATTTTTGACTTCTGCTGCAGAGTCAAAATAGAATCAAGAAACTGGTGGATTAAATCCATAAAGTTTGTAGCATTATTTTGCTTGACCTTTTGAAAAAAAGAAAAAAAAAGAAAAAAGGGGACAATTTATTTATTTAGTTTTTTAAAATCAGTGCAAAAGACATACAACTCTTCACTAGAAAACAAGCAGAACAATCATCCATTGCTGCTTGAAAAGGCTTGAAAAGCAGGGGAGTTTTCATTTGACGGGTAATGTAAAGTCTGACAGATATTATACATAAAAATGGTAATGAGGCGGAGTTGGAAAGGGTTTGGCTAAATCCTACTCCATTTCGTTAAAAAATTCATCATACCAACTTCATTTCTATTTCGAAATGAATTTATAATTGGTATATCATTCCCGTTCCTACTTTGACAGACAAAATACCAACTCTGCCTCGCGTATTCCGTTTAATTATAGGGTGGGACATGTTATGCCAATTTTATTATTTAGTAAAATAAAAATAGTCAATGTAATCAAATTGGACAAATAAATAAGTTGGCCAACCTATTAAATAACTAAGTAATGAATATTTAATATATTAACGAATACTTTCAGCAAGCTAACAAGGTCTTAAAAATATTAAATTTATATTTTATATATTTATAACACAATGAATGCTTAGATGACAAACAACAATTTTAAAGGTATATATAATCGGGGCAGGGGCGGGAACGCATAAACCCGGTTTCGAATTTTTAATTATTTTATTATACATGTTCCAAACTCATTTATGAGGCTACCAAAACCACTCCATTAGGGGCGGGGTGGAAGAAATTGCCATCCCTAACTGTACAAGAAGAGTTGAATTTTGGGGGGTATTTTGGTAATTTAACACTTATTATGTTACCTTAGTAAGAGTATATTTATTCATTCTGAATTCTCTGTATCTTGTGTTATTTTGATCATTATAGTAAAATCCCTATAATCCTCGAACGCAGGCCTAAATTTTGTGGAACTAAATAAAAATCTGTTTTCTTATTATGCATGTTTGATCTATTTTTTTTATTTTTTATTTTCTGTTTAATTTCACAACCATCAGCTCATGTATATTGAAACTACTGCCTCACGCAAATTTAGCTAGAGAATGGGATGCTCTGCTTGCTTCCATTGGAACATGCATCACTGAGAAATCAAGTTCAGTACAATCAAGGGACTTAATATGTGAAAATTTTGTAAAATTGAAGTTTCTAAGGAGCTATTGATTTCTCTTATATAGGGCATGTAAAGAGGATTCGACAATTTTCACCATTCACAGTGGGGGTTCGTTAGATGAGAGAGAAGAGGACTTGACAAGGGCTCGGACAACTTTCCTAGCTATGCAGTCTCGTAAGCAAAGCTGGGAAAAAATTGAGTTGAAATGAGCAAGTCACCTATATTTTTGGACAAAAATTAAAATTGAGGTGTCATAAGCACGTCCCCTTGTATAGGTCGGAAATTGGTGGATTTAAGGGAGGTTTGGGCGTGCTCAAGTGCACTTCAGAAAATAAATAAATAAAATAAAAAATAAATAAATTTCTATGCCAAATTTTAGCACAATCAAAAAAAAAAAATATTATTAGTATTAACCCATCCCATAGACAATTCCTGAATTCGCCCTTGCGAAAACATACAAACCATCACGTTATGAATCAATCAATAAATGATAAAAACAAAAGTAGATTATCATACGAACATCTTGTCTATAATCACAATATACCAAAAAAAAAATAATAATAAAAAATAAATATAAAAAAATCTAATCTATCATTACCTAGGAAGCACGGACATTTCTACGAAGGGGCCGTATCCGTATCAGACACCGACACTCCTCGGTTATGTGTCCGACACTTCATATATGTGTCCATAAATAAAAATTAATTTTATTATTTCGGACACTTTACCGATACTTCTCGAGCACTTCATCGACACTTTTCGGACATTTTTAACACAAGTCCAGTCACTAATTTTGAAAATAATATGAATATTATCATGACAAAGTAGTGAAATAATAATATATATGATAAGTGCAGAAAACACCCCTCAAGTATACTCTAAGTAGCACTTTTACTCTTATTTGAAAAGGTGTGCAATAAACACCCCTAATCTTTGAAATTGTGCAAAATTACATTTTTATCAAAAATCTGACATAAATTAATGCTGTAATACCCATTTTACCCTTTTACACTTCCGAAAATACCCATTAAGATGTGCCATTTTACAATTTAGCTTCACCTCAAGTCAGCCATGGCTGCAGAATTCCAAATCAGCTTTGAGCCATCTCCACGTCATCTCTCTTTCCCCTCTCAACACAAAAATTGCAGTGGCGTTGACGTCGTTGTCATCGGCAGAGATGAAAGTCGTTAATAAGAGGAGAGAGAAACGCGGAGATGTCGGTGTCGCAGCGGCGACGTTAGTTCTGTGGCCAATATTTGTTTGTTTGTGGGTGGATCTCAAATGAGGAGTGGTGGTGGAGGGTGAACTGGGCAAAGGTGCGTGCGATTGGTGTTTCTGGAGGCGAAATCCGCCGCGCTTGAGGACGGGGTGGCCGCCGTTGGGTTGGATGGCAGGGCAGACGGTGTAAGGGCAGTTATTGAGATGGAGAAGTGATGGTCGACCTCGCCGCCGCCAGATTTCCCTCAATATTTGCAGAGTGTAGCTTCCGGCCGACACCACCTTCGCCGAACGATCCGAGAACGCTTCATCGATGGGTACGCTTAGTAATTCCGGAACCACTTTCACAGCCAACAATAAATAACAATGAAGTTTCACCTTTGCAACTTCCGGCGAACAAAACCATACCAAACCCTGTTTGGGTTTTGTGGTCAATATCAGATACAAATGTGGATTTTTGAATGGAAAGGGCCATCTGGGTTCTCAGCTTCCTATACTGCTGAGGAGGTCACACAAGGAATTGATGGAATTGGCCTCACAACCATTGTTATAGGTCTTGTTCTCATCTGGGTTCTTCTTTTTTATTTTCTCTATCCTTTTCTATTTAATTATTTTATGTATATTCTTCATTATTCTTTGATGGGATTGTTCGAATATTAATCTGCAAGTGTTCTGTTCATTTTGTGGTTGTTGATATATGAACCCAGATGGCCCTTTCCATCCAAAAATCCACATTTTCATTTGATATTGATCACAAAACCCAAACAGGGTCTTCTTCTTGGTCAGTCAACGTTCTACTCTACCAATGTGATGACAAATAGCAATGGGTTTTGCGTCTTTTTTTGGTGTTTTTACAAAATTTTGTATTTTTTTATATATTTTATAAAATTGTTGACTAAGGGTACTTTAGTCAAGTTTGGTTTTAAATTTTCTAGAGGAATTTGATTGCACCAGATTAAAACTTGAGGGGTGTTTTTTTGCATAGGAGGGGTGGGATATGCGCTGTAAGCATATTTGAAAAGTATTTTTTACACTTGACCTATATAAAAAATGATTATAATAATGACATAATTTTATTTTCTAATTTATTTTAAGGCAACTCTTAATGTAAAAATTATAAATGAATTAAAATTTTATAATATTATTATTGAATAGATATATAATAATAAAAATTTATATTATTATGTAACTGTATCTACATTATATTCGTATTTTATTTTTTAAAAATTTATTATGTGTTCGTATTTCGGATTCGTGCGCATACTACATAAATCATGATAATATAAATCTTGATGGAAACACAACGTTTCTTCATGGCCATTACTTTAAATGACACACACTGCAAAGTGACAGTCGACAATATCGAATGCATTTAAATTGGAATCACACATGCGTGTCGGAGAAAGCTAATTTCTTTTGGGAGTATCTTTTCTCTTTATAATTTATATTATCTGAAGGTCAGATCATTAATAGGCATAAAGACAATAAAAATTTGTTTGAGTCACCCACAGCTGTGATGAAATTCACTAGTCAGATTTTTTGTTTTGTTTTATTTTATTTTATTTATTTATTTTTTTAAAGTACAGAGTATTAATTTGGTGCATTTTTTTAAACTTATTATTGTATTTTTTTAATTACAGATAATATGAACACGAACATGAAAAACGATACGATACGAATAGATTTACAAGTCAAAATTTTAAAAAATAAGACATTAGTATGGCATAAACACAAATACATATAAATATAAATTTTTATTTTTATACATTTATTTAGTAATAATATTATACTTTAATTTATTTATAATTTTTATATTAAGAGTTGTTATAAAATGAATTAAAAAATAAAATTATGTTATTATTGTAATGATTTTTATATTATATATATTATTATTTCACTATTTTGTCACGATAGTATTCATATTATTTTTAACAGAAAGTGTCGACTAAATGTCAAAAAAATATCAAAAAAGTATTCCAAAATTATTGACGAAGTGTTTAAAATAATGAAATTAATTTTTGTTTATAAATATATATATGAAATATCGGACACGTATTTAAATAGTGTCAGGTGCTTAAAAAAATGAAATAAGGCGTTAGCCCAAAAAGGGCCAATACTAGTAATTGTTTTTATGTTTCTTCATGAATTAATAGAAAATGATCATGGTACAACAGGAGGGAGGAGTTTTCACTGTCTGCCACAGGCCCACACCATGTCACACTAACACACTCTTATCTTCCTCCACCCAGCACCACCCCTTTAATGCAAACTGACACTACAAATTTATTGCAAGAAAATAAAGGCACCCTAACTAACACAACTTTAAAAGATAGGATTTGTGATGGGAGATTGATTGGAACTTGGAACTGCGTTTACAATTGGGGGTAGATCTATTCGGTAATAGCAAAGTGTTGTATTGCATAACAACCGCAGTAATCATTCACACGTGTGAATTATTATCATTATACATAATAGTCGATTATGGTGCTTCCGTGATGATTATGAATTAAACAATACGTATGAGTTATCACAATCGTTTGCAGTGGTCAAGAGTACAACACTACTGTTACCGCGCAGAATGGACACTATTTCGAAGCATTGCACATGAGGACATGGCTAACCATTTTGTCAAAATTCAGGTAAGATGACCCATCACTACAATTAGTGGCCTCCTCTGCTAATCTCTTAAACTCCATAGCTTTTTTCTTCATCTCTTTGCCTCTCTCTCCAACCATCAACTCTCTCACAAGGCTCTCCACCTTCTCTCTCTTAACGTCACTGTCTATCTCCATGCCTATCCCCAATCGAGTGCATGTGAACCAACAGTTGGTTTGCTGCTCTGCGAAAAAAGGCCAACACAGCATGGGCACACCGCCACACACACTTTCAATGGTGGAGTTCCACCCACTGTGTGTCAGAAACCCTCCGATGGCGCGGTGGCCGAGCACTTGTTCTTGAGGACACCAGCTGGTCAATAGCCCCCTTTCTTTGGTCTCCGTCGCAAACTCCGGAGGAAGCATTGCAGATTCACCGATCACCAAATCAGGCCTAATGACCCACAAAAACGTGTGCTTGCTGTTAGCTAGCCCAAAAGCAAATTCAATCATTTGTTGGGGTGTCATGACGGTGACACTCCCGAAATTCACATACACAACTGAGTTTGGTTCTTTGGAATCAAGCCATTCAAGACACCCTGGCTCTTCTTTCCAGAGATTTGATCCCAGACGGCTCAATTCATTTTCTGGGATTTGATTCAGAAGCAGCTGAAGAAGACCAATTGTGTAAACAGAAGGAAAGATTGAAGAAAGTGCTTCTAAGACATCACTCTCTAGTGCATCGAATGTGTTCAGAATCAAAGCAGATGCTTTATGGACTTTCTCAGTTTCACCTACTGCAAAGTTAAACATAATATCATTGGGGTCATTGGTCCTGACGAAGCTCGGAAGATCCTTCAATCGAATACCCTCCATTCCCGGTATCCAGTCGATAACAGTATCTAAATACCCATTTGTTAAATAGCTCATATCTGCATTTTATAAAGAACAAAAGTGATCATCACAAAATTTTATGCACAAACTTACAATTCTAAGGGGGTTTTTCTTTTGGGTAATAATCAGGAAGTAACCTGAAAGGCACGACTTTCAAATCAGAAACAGTCTCTCCATACAAAGATAAAAAGATAAGATTGCATACGTACAATCCTTCAGGTCTTTACAATGACGGGAGACTCTGGACTAGCCTTATTAGTCCATACTATTTTGCCACTCACCATATGGATGGCCATGTTTATGAGGGGGTTTAATATGAAATAATGTTAATTTGGTTGAATACTAGAAGAATTATCATACAAATTAAAGAAGTTGAACTGATATATATATATATATTGATTAGTACCTTTGAGTGGTGTATAACCCTTTTCTACGAGTTGATGATAGTGCACATAGGCCATAAAGCCACAGGCACTGGTGGTCCAGAAGAGAACATTGGGAATGCCTAGTTGTTCAGCAGCTTTGAGAGTGAAGCTCATAATACCATCGGAAACTATGCAAGTGACCGGAGGGACTTTGGAGGAAGAGGTGTCATTGAGCCTCGAGAGGAGGTCAGTGAAAGGAACCAAACAGTTTTTTTTGGTGGAGTCGCAGAGGGACGGGACGTCTTGTGTCGCGTCGGCGTCAGACGGAGGGAGGCCGTCGGGAATGGTTTCGAATCGGAAGGAAGGGAATCCGTCTAGGGAATTGGGACCTCGGGATCTCAACAGGCGTCTGTGGTTGAACTCACTGTTCACAAAAGTGATGTGGAAGCCTCTGTAATGGAGGATCTTGGCTAATTTGAGCATTGGATTTACGTGGCCTTGAGCTGGAAATGGAACACAAACTGCATGAGGTTTAGACCCCTCTGTTTGTTCCCAGGAACCCATCTCTCTCTCTCTCTCTCTAAATCTCTCTCTCTCTCTCTAATATCAGAGAGTATATAATATGTTGCTGGCACTAGCTCTGTAACTCTGGCCTTAAATATTGCTAGCAAGATGGGGGGATTCATTTTTTAATTTGATATTTTTATAATTTTTAAAGCACGTGTCAACATTTTGTTGGACCACATCGCAAAGTTTCCCGTAGTGAGCGCCCTGAGAAAAATACTTTCTAAAAAAAAAATTTGAGCTTACTGTTTCAGTATAATTAGTAGCATGAGTGGCTGAAAATGTGATCCTGATAAGATTTAAATTACTGTAGAAAGATAATTGTGATGTACAGGCACTAGTCTCGTGGAGTTTTACGAAGCACGCTACTTTCATTTTCTAAAATTTCTGTTTTTGGTAAGTCGGTAGAATTTGATATGACTTGCGGACGTTATTTGAATAAAATATCATAATTCGATATGACTTGTCGATATGATTTAAACAAAACATTATATTAACGAATTTGTGTTTGGATTATAAATGTGCCGACACTAATAACTCGTTCAATTATTCTTATCATGTTAGAGTTGAACACTTATACTCGTATAATTAAAAATTATAATGGTATTAATATCACATGTAACTCATTATTTGTTTAAATTTAATTGTTAGGAATAATTAGGTCATTTCGATGTAAACCCTAATAAAAATATGCATTAACACCTTATACCTTAGCTAATGTATATTTTTTTAGCAGTATTATTGTTTGATTGAGACAATTAAGTTTCTGAATTGAAGAGCAATAAATGTCAGTTTCAGTAAGTTGGTTTCATCAATCCTTATCCTGATTAAGCCAATAACCATCCATTTGGCTCAATTTCTATGCACAAAATTACAAAATCTCCACTCTTTGGAAGCATCACTAAAAAAAGAGTGCTGAAGAAGACGATGATGGAGAGAGCAACAATGTTTTTGACATTTTGTCATATATCTAATAACTAGAAAAAAATATTGCTTTAACATTTTTGTCATATATGAAACAATTAGAAAAATACCACGTCAACATTTTTGTATTTTTGTCGTATATCAATATTTTTGTTTGAATTAAGTTGTCTTTCTTATGATTAAATGATGACTAGTTGCTAAATATGATACGAAGAGAAAAATTACTAATCTAAATAATTTCAATAAAACACATAATCAAGTGTGACCGGACATTTCAGTTTTTATGTTCATATTTATTTTAATAAAAATTTGAACAAACAATATAAATTACCTTAATTCTAGCCACCAAATATGTACTACAATTATTAATGTTTGTACTTTAAACATAATGTGCTGTCATTCAATTTTTTAACTCTGTTATAGTAGTAATTAAGAGGCAACACACACCCATATAAAGTTGGATCCAATCTTGAGGGATTCACGCAAACTCATTTTTTTTGTGCGGCAATCGATTGATCAGTTTTGGTCGAGATTCAATGGGGTCAACAAGTTGATAACTTAAGTAATACACAATTTCAGACACAAAGGGGTGGTGGCGCAGTTGGCTAGCGCGTAGGTCTCATAGCTTCTGAGTCATCCTGAGGTCGAGAGTTCGAGCCTCTCTCACCCCAATTTTTATTTTTACAAGTTACAACTTCTTCACTGTTTTGTTCAATCAAAGGTAGAGATTATTCCCTTACTAATCCACAAAACTGAAAGCACATGCGACTATATCTTAGTCTATGTCAACGACAAGGAAACTATTTATCATAAAGAAGAGAACAAGCTCTGGACCATGTAACCCTATCTCTTAGAACTTGAAGACAATTCACTCTTAAAGATGAGTATCGATCGATATTATATTAATTGCGCCATATGTTGTGGTACCCTCTATCTAATCAATATTGGCATTCTTCACCATGAGCCTATGTGTGCTGCCTTAGTGTTTTAATAAATATGTCTTGCATATTGCTAATAATAATGAAAACACTAAACATGTAGAGTTTGATGGCCATCTGTACCAGGAGATATTTTTTTCGTTTATTTGAAAGTTCAAGTAAATGTACATGCACCCACAATATTATATTGTTCTTACCAGGTCAAATTAAGACACTTAACTCTCCTTTAGAGAAGAGAGATATTATGTTCTCTGAGTTAATATTTATTCGAAAGTTCCAACAAACATACATGTATACATAATATTATATTGTTCTTATCAAATCAAACTAAGACACCTAACTCTCTTTTAGAGAAGAGAGAAATTATGTTATTTGAGTTAATGCTCGATAATTTTATCGGTTACTTTAATAAATATGTCTTGCTTATTGCTGAAAATAACGAAAACACTAAACATGTAGAGTTTGATGGCCATTTATATCCGGAGATACATTTTTCGTTTATTCCAAAATTCAAGCAAACGAACATGCGCCTACAATATTATATTGTCGGCCGAAATAAGACACTTAACTCTCTTTTTAGGAAAGAGAGAGACCATGTTATCTGAGTTAATGCCCTATGATTTGATCGGTTACTTTAATCTTTCAAAGGTACTTTCTATGAACAAATTATAGTTCCAATGATTTGATCGGTTACTTTAATCTTTCAAAGACACTTTCTATGAACCAATTATAGTTCCTAGCTTGTAGACAAGTCGAGTGTCCTCAACATTCATACCCCAACCTGAAGAAGCTTTAAATGTTAGGAATCATATTACAAAGAGATAAAATGTCACAAGATGATGAATAAATTTTATTTGGGCTTCTAAAATTACTTTCATTGGAAAATTAAGGTATACTTGATTTGTAATTCTGAAAATAATTTTCAAGAGTTTAGAGAATAGAAAAATATTTTCAAAGAACTATAAAAGACAGTTCTTTGTTTTATAACTGAATTTTTAGAAAATAATTTTTGAAAAATTTAACCAAGTAGTTCCTTGCTTGTAGACAAGTTGAGTGTCCTCAACATTCATACTCCAACCTGAAGAAGCTTTAAATGTTAGGAATCATATTACAAAGAGATAAAATGTCACAAGATGATGAATAAATTTTATTTGGGCTTCTAAAATTGCTTTCATCGGAAAATTAAGGTATACTTCGTTTGTAACTCTGAAAGTAATTTTCAAGAGTTTAGAGAATAGAAAAATATTTTCAAAGAACTACAAAAGACAGTTCTTTGTTTTATACCTGAATTTTTAGAAAACAGTTTTCGAAAAATTTAATCAAGTAAAATTTTTTGTACAGTTACCGAAAACAGAGAGCTATTCTCAGAGTCACAAATAAAAAGTTGTTCTGAAACTACTTCCCTAATGAGATAGAAATTGCTTACACTTTTAATGCTAGTATAGGTATAGATATAGATATAGATTGACATAAAATTAAAAGAAATTAAACAACACTTAATATATAGATATTCATGTGTATAAATTAATGTCCATATATACATACAGTGGCGAGATATCAAATTATAGTACATTGGTGAAGCGCAAGATCTGTTTGGAACTTTGGACAAAAATATACAAAAGGGCATATCAAAAGTGATTGAACATCAGCATCTGTTCGGAACTTTGGACAAAAATATACATGAATATATTATTATTATTACTTATCACAAGCCATTCTTTTTTCTTTTCTTTTTTAAAATCATTTTTAATAACATCTACCTGTAGAATCACACGAATTCATGAATGCAAGAAATTTCAATTCTGATTATTTTTTTTTTTATATTTTTATATAATGAAATTGTGATATATATTATTAATTTATTTGTTAGATGAAAATGCCTTATTATACAAAACTTACATGAAATGCATTTTTTATACAAAATTTAGATGAAAATTGAGAGAGAACTCGGAAGTTAAAAAAACAAGGGGTCAAAGAAATATCAAATGTCGTCGTTTATTGTTTGTTATTTGCATTATTCATTCCTATACTCATCGTTACAACCCTAGAGAAGTAGATTGGCTATGGTGGTTCAAGAACACCTAACATTAACGATCAGGTGAGTATCTCATAACACTGATTCTTACCTTTCATTACCAATGATTTCTATATACAGTAAAACACTAGTTCGTTTTAGATGCTTTTCTGTTTTAGATTCAACAATCCATAAACTGTATGCCCTTCAAACCCATCCACTCTCTTCATCTCTCAAATCCATCTCGACTTCCACAAATCAACACTCATTTGCACTCAATTACCTCATCAATTCATGTGGGTTGAGTCCAGAAACTGCTATTTCAGCTTACAAAAAAGTCAATTTTAAAACCCTAGACAAACCAGATTCAGTTCTCAACTTCTTCAAGAACCATGGATTCAGCGAAACCCAGATCTCATCTCTCATCAGAAAAGTCTCAAGTCTTCTCTTAGCGGATCCCAACAAAACCCTTTTACCCAAATTCGAATTCTTTTACTCCACTGGCATTTCCAGCACCGAGCTCGCCAAGATATTATCCACTAGCCCAACAATAGTGAAACGGAGCTTGAAGAACCAAATCATACCATCTTTCAATTTTTTTAAGAGTTTCTTCCATTCAAATGATAAGTTTATGGCGGCCTTCAAACAATTTCCTGAGGTTGGAGTGCGCTGTCACAGTGCTACTTCATTGCGCAACATTGAAATTTTGAGACAACACGGCGTGCTGGATTCGAATATTGTGTTCTTACTTACTGGTCAGCATAGGTCACTTACCGTTAATCCTGAGAGATTTAATGAGGCAGTGGAGGATGTTAAGAAAATGGGTTTCGACCCTTCAAAATGCAATTTTGTTTTAGCGGTTCGGGTATTGTTGTCACTGAGCAAATCAACATGGAAAAGGAAGATGGAGGTTTATGAGAAGTGTGGTTGGTCTGAGGAAGAAATAATGTTGGCTTTTGCAAAAATTCCGTGCTGTATGATGTTATCCGAGGAGAAGATAATGGCGATGCTGAATTTCTATGTCAACACAATGGGTTGGGAGTCTTCCCTAATTGCCCATCGTCCGAAATTAATGTCACTGAGCTTGGGTAAGAGGATAATTTCTAAGTGTTCAGTACTTAAAGTTTTGATGTCGAAATGTTTGATTAAGAATTCCATTAGTGCAATGTCATATTTGGAGTTCACAGAGAGCT